TGTGTGTGTGTGTGTGTGTCGTGTATATATATATATATATATATAAGAGTACCTCGTCCGTTGTCTACAGCCGTGTGAAACCTTGCATGTACAAAACTTTATCACACTCAAGCAACACCCACTCTGCTACGATTAGACAACCCACTGATCACTTATAGCTCAATAGCTCCGTCCTGATACTCATACCCACAGCAGCCTGTACCACGGCCTTGTAGTTGATCATGGCTGGATTCGGCGTACTGGAGAGTCCATCGTCCGCGGAGTACAGCCGCGTGAAGCCTGGCAGTGGGGACGTAGCCCCCGATGTATTGTGCGAATTGTATGCACTCGGGTGTGACGTAGTTTTGTTCCAGATACCGTTGCGAGACGGCATGACGTGGAACATGAGATGAGGCGCGATGACCATATTTAGCCGGATCTATAAATAGATTTTAACCGAAGCGCGGCCGTTGAAGAGGGGGCGGTTGATCAGATATAGAGCAATTGGGTTTTGGTTGATTCCAGATGTGAATAAGTGTCCATAGAAGTATCACACACATCCAAAAAAAGCCTACAAATACGTGCATGGCTCAACTCCAACTGCATGGCTCAACTCTAACCGGACAATTGGGCAGAAACTAGATGCATTCTCCTCACAGTAAAGACACAGTCACATGCCTTTTACAGTACCATGGACGAGCACTCCCACCGCTTTGCTACGCCACTCAGACCCAGCTCTCCCCTCAACTCCAAGTTGATTCCAATAATTAATCCTTACCTTCTTGGGTGCGCGAGACATCAGCACGGGCGTGGGCGTACTCTTGTTGCCCAACGGCACCAACAGACCGTCCACACTGGTGACGCTGACGGAATTGTTCATGCTTGCGGTGGGCATGGAGGGTTTCGCGGTTGCGGTTGCGGCTTGCGGTGTGGGGTCTCCCCCGCTCTTGGCGGTGGAGGTGTCCTCTGCTGCACCATGCAGTGAATTGTATTAGATTGGCTTGTGGCTTTGACTAGGCTTGTATCGTATGAAACAATAAAACCCTAAACCCTATCGGTTGAAACAATAGTGGACCGCATCAACCCGGTCAATTATGTGTATCTTGAATAAGCTTAGTGTAGATCAACATTAAACTAATTCCTTTTCACTGGCACTAGTTTGATTGGGGTTGAACTGTATTGGAGTGGGTTATACGAATTTGAGAGCCTGTGACTGAAAGTCTGAGCCGCGCTGCATGTACGCCGATTACACAAAGAAGATTAGTCGAAACGGATTGAAAGTACAGAAATAGCGAGCTATGGACACTCAATACCGCCAGAAATGGATCGCACCAAAACACACACACACACACACAGACACATCATCATCATGTGCCAGCCCGAAGCAGACCCTACAACCACCAGCCACACTCACCGTCCTTGGAATCATAGCTAGCAGTAGCAGAAGTAGTCCCCAGAGGCACTCTATTTGGCCCCAAGTGTTCACGGTTAGACACCCCCCATTGCTCGCGTGCATCGTCCGCGGCCTCGGGTGTAGCGGGCAAAGGCAGCTCTTGCGATAAATGGTGGAATAGGCCCATCTTCTGGTGCAGAATACTTATCAACAGATGGTTTCTATTGCACTGCAAGTGTATATAAGACGTACAAACAGGTGAGTTATTCGTATACGTAAAATCATGAGCGTGAGGGCAGTGTTTGCGAAAGATGGTGAAACAGACTCACCTTCGGGCGCATATGACTTATCATCTGAAGATTGCCGTTGTACTACAAGTTCGTTCAGGGTATGAGTTTGAATAGATATATAAGAAGTACCCTATCGTTTAATACCGAATACTAGCTATCAAAAGGAGCACATTCTATTCTATGTTTATAAAGAACATGAAGGTTGGTTAGCTATTTGAAATGTTAAATAATACGGGTCAAGATGGTGGATTAAGCCAATCTTCAGAGCCAAAGGATTTGTCATAAGATGGTCAATACTGCACTGCAGCACGAGTGCACGCTCAGGGGCGAATTACTAATTGATGTTTTCCGCCAGCGATATATAAATCACGGCTGGGAAGCCGTGGGTACTGAAAGCGTATAATCATAGGGGTATTTTATTCGTTCACATTCTTATTTCTGTTAAAAAAACAGATGTTCTTGCTTGGGGTCTGGGGAGTGGGAACTGGTCTCAGTGAGACTCAGGGTTAGCAGTATATTATTTCTAAAACTGAGGAATTTATTCCCTGAATTATAACGGAGACTCCAAGGGGGTTTACAAATAGGCAAAAAGCGTTACGGACAGACTTTGCGTAACGGACGAGCAATCGGTGATAATGTCAATAAGGACTTAAGAAAAGCTAACACTTTCAGTGATAAATATAGTATTATATAGATACATACATACATATATATATACATATAATATATATATACATACATACATATCTATACATATATATATGTCTAT